TGGTTGATTATGGTCCCTCTTTCAAGACAAAGTTGGGGATTAAACATCTACAATCTAATTCTCGAAGACTGATTATGGTTCCCTTCAAATGAAAATGAAGAGTAGAGGGGAATAAACCATCTACAACCAGGTGCCTCTACTTGGTTGATTATGGTCCCTCTTTCAAGACAAAGTTAGGGATTAAACCATCTATAGTTTAATTCTCGAAGGCTGATTATGATTCCCTTCAAATGAAAATGAAGAGCAGAGGAATGAAAATCATCTACAATCAAATATTCAGTTTGATTGACTACGGTTCCCTTTTTGTATGCAAAATTCCAAGGATTAAGGCTGTCTACAATCAGAATTTCATTTGATTGACTATAACTTATTGTGAAGAAAGGAGTGAAAAGGAAATTTTCTTTGTATTAAAAAGAAAAGAGAAATGTATTGCTGTATAGTTTCTCAATTGTATTTTCTTTTTCTTTCTTCTCATTCTTGTACACTTGATGTAAAAGAAAAGCAAATGAAAAGTTCTTTTTAAGTACCCTATTGTTCTTTTCTTTTGTTCTATGCGTTCATTTCTCCAAGTCAGAATCAAAAAGTATTCTCTACTTTCTTGTGGAGATGTAATTAAGGGGAACAATCGGTATGATTCCCTAAATGGGCCTTACCCAAAATAATAAAAACTCAATCACTTGATTGAGTGAATTATGTTGCATGAGAATTTATTAAAATTTTCACACCAACAAAGCTCAACTTGAAAATGGAGCTATATCCGCAGGCCTTACAATCTTGCATGGTTGGAATAAGGGCCATGTGCTAGAAGATGACAAATGCTACCTTGTGCCATTCTCCATTGGTGATACATGTTTTTTGCTTGGTAGACCTTATGAGTTTGAATGTTTGATAGAAAATTAAGTTAGATGGCTGGACCAGCAGTTATATCATTCATAAGGATGGTTTACGTTAATGTCTCCTAAAGTGAAAAGGAGCTCGAAAAGGGGAAGGGAATAGTATGCATTTCCAAATCTGTACGAGTATGAGCTGGAAGAGCAGGAGATGGTGTTTGCTTTTGTAGCAAAAAGGGATACTTTTGACAGTAAGGTGGTGATAGTGTTCCAGAACAAAAAAAAGTACAATCCCTATCGGAAGAGTTTTAGGATGTTTTTATTGAAGAATTGACACCTGAATTGCTTCATGTGTAGCATGTAACACCATATTGATCTTATTCCTGATACAACCCTTCCCAAAAAGCCTTATTATAGGATGTCTCTAAAGGAGCAAGCTGATTGACATTTATTGTTAACATGCCTTTGAAGTTGGAGATGAAGTGTGGGAGTATCTTTCTAAAGAGAGGTATCTTAATGGATAATATCATAAACTCAAGCCCAAGAAGATTGATCCTTGTGAGATTCTAGTAAGGATTAATGAAAATGTTTACAAAATGAAGTTGCCACTGGATTTGCAAATCAGCAATGTGCAGCATTTTTCACCTTATTATGGGGAGAATGACAATGAGAGTTTGAGGGTGAATTCTTTTCAAGAGAGTGTGACTGATGTAGTTTAACTTTTATGGCAATAGAGGATACAATAAATTAATTTTTAGGTAGGTTTGGGCTTCAGAAACTTACTAGAACATTTGAAATGAGGAATTGATGACTGCACCTGGATTTTAGGTCTATAATTAGTAGTTTCCTATTTTGTTTAGGAAACTATTAGTTTGAACCTATTGATCAAAGAAAAAAAATAGTTTGAACCAACCAACAAGCGTGGCCAAAAAGAAAAGTCCTGATATGAACTGGACTGAATAAAGGTTGTCTAAACAAAGCAGAGAAATATGATGGCATTTATTACCTATCGGTCTTTAAGGTGCCTGCAAGGGTGGCTAGCAAGTTGGAAAAGCTAATGAGAGATTTCCTTTGGGACCTGGGGAGGAGAAAAAGGACCATAGGGTTAGGTGGGAGGTGGTGTGTAGGAGCAAGCAGGATGGAGGTCTAGGCATTGGGAATATAAGGAAGAGAAACTTGGCTCTACTAGGGAAATGGTTGTGGAGATTTTCATTGGAAAAGGAAAAACTGTTGGCTAAGATAATATGTAGTATTCACGGGCTTGCGGAGAATTCATGGGACTCGGGGATTCTGGCTAGGACTAAAGGGCATCACCTTGGAAAGCAATCCAAGCTATTCTACCTTTATTTTCTCCTTGGATCAGGTATGACTTGCACTCGGGTAATCTCATTAAGTTTTGGGAACATGTTTGGGTTGGGGATTCTCCTTTGAAAGATCAATTTCCAGCCCTCTTTGCTATCTCCACCTTCAAAAATGAACCAATTGCACTTGTACTCTCAAACTCAACTTCTGGGTTTGGATGGAACTTGGGTTTGAGAAGAGCTCTCAGGGACACAGAATTGGATAGTACCTTAACTCTCATGTCCATTCTTGATGGGGTTTTCTTGGAGCCTACAAAAACAGATAGCAGGATCTGGACTTTGTCTCTTTCAGGCTCCTTTACTTGTGCCTCCTTTAAAGCCCTAATACAACTAGCAGTTCCTATTGGCTTGTCATTCCCCCCCAAAGAAGTGTGGTGTCAACCTATACCTCCGAAGGTTGGGAGTTTCTGTTGGGAAGCTTTCCTGAAAAGAGTCAACATAGGTGATTTGATTCAAAGAAAAAGACCCAATAGTTGTTTATCTCCTCACAAGTGTGTTCTTTGCAAAGCTGCTAGTGAGTCTGGTTACCACTTACTAATATCCTTTGATTTGGCAAAAAATATTTGGGAATGGTTTGCTTCTTTGTTTGGGTGCAGGTGGATTTCCGCATTGAATGTGCAAAGTTTGTTTAATTCCTCTTCTTTCAACTGCCCAACAAAAAGGTCAAGGATCGTGTGGAGATGTGTGAGAGCTTCTATTTGCTGGACTATATGGGAAGAAAGAAACTCAAGGATTTTTTCAGAAAAGGAGAGAAGGTTGGAAACTATGCTAGAAGTGATCCATATAAGGGTAATACATTGGTTGAAAACAATGGACTTGTTCACAGATTATTCAACGGATGATATGTTAAGAAATTGCAAGTTCAGCCTTAGTTAAGAAGACATCGAATCCCACCTGGAACCCTCCACCTCTTGGTTTTATCAAACTAAATTTTGATGGCAGCAACATGGGGAATCCAAGGCCTTTAGGTATTGGGGGGGGATGCTAAGAGATGAGAAAGCGAATGTAATAGCTATGTTCTTTGGCCCAATTGGAGTGGGAGACTCTTTGAGGGCTGAGGTGTTAGCAGCTTTGGAAGGGGTACAAAGGGCTAAAGACCTGAATGTCAAAAAACTGATTATAGAAGGAGATTCTGAGATTGTAGTGAACTGGCTAAAAGAAGGCACCTCTAAGCTTTGGAGCTACAGCAATGAAAAGAGAAAATTCTAATGGCTGATCAAGAACATGGAAGTTCAGTGTACTTGGGTAAAGATAAATGCAAACTCCTTTGCCGATGGATTGGCTAGGCAAGGGGTGAATAGGGATTCTGGTTTCTGGGCTCAGTTGTAATTGTTCTTTTCCTTTTGGGTGCCTGCCCACCTTCTTGGGGAGTTAAAATACTTTAGCTCCTCTACTTTGTAAGCTTATTCCTATTTATTGAAGTCTGTTGTTATTGATAAAAAAAAAGAAATATGATAACATCAACTTTTCCATCCCACATTACATGAATAAGTTGTGCACATCCATCAAGGCATTAACAGTCTTCTTTTAGCCTCTTTTTGCTCTTCTAATTGGTAAACTTCTCTTTTTTACTTGAAATGTTACCTTAAAAAACCTGTCATGTAGTTTGGGGTGGGGGTGGAACTCGACTTGGCTCAACTCAAGTCAGCCTTGTCCCCATATGGGATTGGTCACATGAATCCTGTAATGTTGTTCTGTTCTGTTAAGTGTCATATCCATTGTTAAATTCTGGACCCTTGATCATTTCTCATTACTTCAACCTGTCCTTTTCGATCTTCCCTAGGGATGGAAACTTGCAAATAATGTTCCATGTCATTTTTTTTTCTGGGGTGGGTGTTCTGTTTGTATTTCACCACTAAAACCAAGTGCTTCTGGCTATCAAAAACTGATACTTAATATTCTCGTCACCAGTGAAGCAGTCAAACAGAACCAGAGTATGGACTTGGTTTTAGGGGTGTTCAAATTTGGATGATAAACCAAAAACCGAACCAAACCAAACCGAGTAAGCTAGTTTGGTTTGGTTTTTGTTTTTTTTTTTTTAAATCAGTTATCGGTTTGGTTGAGATTTGAACCGAACCTAATCGAAAACCAACTAGTGGTTTTATTTAATTAAGTATATTAAATATATAATGCTTACTATTTAATTCTTTATACTTATTAATTATTTTCTTAATCAATGGTCAAGTCGGCAATTCCTAATGCTTTGGGCCTATTTTAACTTTTAATTAATAATAGTTAATTAAATTGTTTAAAGAATCTAAGCCATTGAAGTATTAAAACCTAGACTAATTATTAATTATTTGTGGATAATGGCCAATACTTAATTAATAGTTAATTAAGTATATTAACTTTTAACATTTAATAAATAATAGTTAATTAAACTATCTAAAGATTTTAAACAACTAAGTACTAATTAAAACCATTGGGCTTCGGGGCCATTCTAGCTTTTAATTAATAACACTTATTAATTATTAATTATTCATTATTCATTAATTGTTTATGTAGAATCAGGATGAATGTTTAATTGTTTACCATTTATGTGGAATCAGGGCCCAACCAAACTAAACCAAACCAAACTGAATTTGGTTAGGGTCAGTTCGGTTCAGTTGGGGAAGATGATTAAACTGAATAGTTGGTTAGGTTCTTGGTTCTAACTGAACCAAACTGAATCGACCGATTGTACACCCCTACTTGGTTTACATGTAGATAGTTTTGAATCACTGCTATACATGCCTCTGCATTTTGCAACTTTTTTTGGGTATCTGGATGCGAGTCAAAACACTTAAATTGAAAATGGGACTAACAGCTTTTTCCGGATAACAGGCTTATATAGACTTTGAGATATCAGAGGGAGAATATGAAAGAACCAGGCAGCTTTATGAGAGATTACTAGATCGCACCAAGCACTTGAAGGTGTGGATAAGCTATGCAAAATTTGAGGCATCTGCTATGCAAGAAGAAGACAAGGATTCAAATATGCAGGAAGAGAATGATGAAGAATTAGTTAATGAAAGAAAACAGTGTCTCCTACGTGCTAGAAGTATGGGATTTGTTTTCTTTTATATATATATATATATATAACAGACACATAAATGCATAGATACATTAATTTGGATCTTAATTGCATTAATTCTGACAATCTTTTTCATTTTTCTATTTTCAAAAAATGCACCAGGAGTTTTCGAGAAAGCTGTTAACTACTTTAGAACATCTGCACCTGAACTGAAAGAGGAAAGAGCTATGCTTTTGGAAGAGTGGCTGAATATGGAGAGTAGCTTTGGCAATCTTGGAGACATCAGTTTAGTCCAAAGTAAGCTACCAAAGAAGTTGAAGAAGAGGAGACCAATTGTATCCGAGGATGGTCCAGCTGGGTATGTCCATCAACTTTATGCTCTCTATTCTTTTATACAGAATGTGATGGTGGAAACGTTTTAAGACTAGGATCTTGGAATCGTGGGTGGCATGCAGACTTTGGCAAGAGAACAACCGTGTGACCCCCAATGAAATACATACACACTGTTTGAAATAAAATGTCAGCTGTCAGCTGACATGGTGTCCTGAATTTATTGCAAATGCTGGGGTGTTTGCATTTTATTGCGGGGTTGCAATGGAGTGCTGCGCAGCAGATGTGAACTCGACTTTGGCCAAGTTCCTTGCTAAGTGCTGTCTGAAAAATTTTGGCCAATTTCTCATCAGCTCATGCTACTAGTTCTTTTTGTCTTCATTTCTTCTCTCTGCGTTGGGTGATTTTATTTGTTAATTCTAAATGAAACCTTGCAGGTACGAAGAATACTATGATTATCATTTCCCGGAGGAGACTCAGACTACGAATCTCAAAATCCTGGAAGCAGCCTACAAGTGGAAGAGGCAAAAAGTTGGTTCTGATGAGGACTGATTATAACTCCCTATTGTTGTCATCACAAATCTGAATGGTTCTTCAATGCATTTGTGGGCCATCAGAAACCATCTTAACCAAAAACGATTTGTAAAACTTCTTGTGATTAACGAAAAATTTTTCCTTCCCCATCTCAAGTGGGATTGAATCGTCTGGTTACCTTCCTGGTTGGCAGCCCTCTAGAGCCGAGACACCACTTGTCCCTTTCTTTGTACATAACACTGTGCATGGGAGCATGGAAATATAGATTTGAATTCAATTAATTTATGTATCTAGATATCGATTTGGAAGCTGAAACCCAGTAAATTTGTATAATAAAGCAGTAGAAGATAAAATTAAATATAAAATAAATAACTATATCTATTTATTGCAATTAATTGGGCTGTTGTGTGTAAAAGAAAAAAAAGGAGTGTCGGGAGCGGGTAATTAAACAACAAGAATTTGGCATTATTCGACAAATGGTTGTGGAGATTCTTTTGGATTTTGATAAACTCTACACACAATATTGCTTGGTGGCACTTATGATATTGATGTTACTGCTGGGGTGTTGTGCTGTATGTAAGGGCAACATTGGTTTCCTCGTAGAAATCCATTGCAGGATTGTTTCTTTGCTTGCAATAAATCAGGTGTGAGTTTTTTTTTTTTTTTTTACTGGGGGACATTCATGGGAATTGGGAAAGATAAATTCTTTGTCCTTTTTCTTTATCCAGCTTTAAATCCATCTCTCATTTCTCTCGTATTTCAACATTTAAGTGGAACTTTGTCTCTAGAATTGATCAACTTCCTTGATGGGGTTTGCTTTGACGACCTTAAAGAGGATGATATAATCTGGTCCTATTCCACCTTAGGCAAATTCTCCAGTGCTTCGTCTCTTTGAATCTCTTCATCCCTCGATTCCTCTTTGATTCCCAGTTAAAAGAATCTAGAGTGGACCTCCTCCTTATCCTCTATATTTTATAAGCGGCGAGAGCATCTACATCTGTCAACATCCTCATGTTTATTATCCTCTAGAGTTGCTATTATCTCCCAATAGAGTTCACTGTCGGAACAATGTATCAAGCTTAACTTTGGTGGATACAGTAGGGACAACCTGGGCACTTCAAGGATAGGAAGAACCTTTAGAAACCATGATGGGGACATTTATGCTGTTTTCTCTGAACCAGTAGACTACATGAGCTTTAAAAGAGCTGAGATATTAGCTGTTTTACAAGGCCAAAGATTGGCTATGATATGAACTACACTAATTTCCAAATTGAAGGAGACTCCAAAATAGTAGTGTGCTGGTTGCATAATGTAATGGGGGAGATGAAGGAACTCAAAGGAAACAAAGTGTTGCTAGAACATGGATCCACAAATTGGCTAATGGGATGGAGATGTATTGGCTAAACAAAGGGTGGATAGAAAAAAACTTATTTTGGGGAGGGGAAGGGGGTTACTGATGTAACCTAATCTCTGATTCTGTTAAAAATAATCTTACTCATAAAAAATGTTATCTAAATTCCAAATCTCATTTGCGATTTTGCGGTTAATCCTATAGAGCTCAAGTCATATGACATTGAACACATAAAGGAATGGCAGAATAAGGTTCAAAGTATCAATAAATCAGATACACTACAACATGTGCATAAGGTTTTATTATTTTTTAGGAAAATTCCCGATCAGTAGTACTTTGGCTCAAGTGACAATTTGGTCTCCGAACTTTAAAATGCGACAATTCAGTGTTCAAACTTTCGAAACACGATAATCTAGTATCTGTCGTTAATGGACTGTCAGTTATGTATATCACGTGACCTCATGCGCGATTTAAGACTTTTGAAAATGTCAAAATTACCCTTAAAAATAAAATACACTGTTCATCATCTTCTTCCTCAAGAAGATGAAACAGAGCCCAAGCTCTTTGTCACAAACACCAAAACCCTTGCAACAGAGCCCAAGCTCTCTCTCATAAACACTTGCAATGACTTTGCCTTTCTTGCAAAATCATTGCAAGTCTTTGCTAAGAACAGAAAATTTCAAGTTTTATGCAACTTATTTTTATTTTTTAGCTTAACAGGGTAATATTTTATCCTACAGGTAAAAGAGAGGAGAACTAGAAGCTGTCTTGATACTAGAGAGAGAGAGAGAGAGAGATCAGTGATGGTGGCCGGAGACTTTTCTCTTTTTTCATTTTTCAGATTAGATAATTACAATAGTTAAAGGAAAACTTTTCTCCCACAAAATGCTTTGGTTTTGGTCCAAAGATGACAGAGAGGAGAAGAAAGACAAAAGTGTTGTCACAGGGATGAAAAATTCGACGGTTGATTTTGATTTTAGCGGATGGTTGATAAAGAAAATTAGATGACACTTGAAGGGCAGTTGTGTCTTTTCAGATGCCACTTAACGGCTGGTTAACAGTAGGTACTAGATTGTCGTGTTTCAAAAGTTCAGGTACTGGATTGTTCCATTTTAAAGTTTGGGGACCAGATTGTCACTCAAGGCAAAGTACAGAGTACTGATCAGGAATTTTCCCTTTTTTTTGGTTTCATATCTTTATAAGGAGTTTTCTAACATCTATCTTCAATGATTAAAAACATTAAAATTTTCAAACTCTTAAAAATAGCCATTTCGAAGACCCTTGGGAACAATAGAATGTGGCCGATATAAAATGTATCATACCGACACTTCGAACCATGGGCAGAACAGGATTCATATAGCTACTCCTGTATACTCGAGATAAGATTTATACGCAAAAATATATATTATTAAACAATTAAAATAAATATACTGTCTTCTCATAAAATTTAAGTTGATTGCATAACTCTAAATTTGGTCCATTGGTTTCTCGTCCACTGCATTTCAAATCTAATCTAGTTTGATTGTTCAAAGGTATCATACGGCATACCCTTATATATGTTAATTCTTCTAAATAAAAATTAGTCAAATATGCCCTAGGGCAGTGTAATTTTGAGATGCACATTTACGTTTTCTAAATGTTAAAGGTTGTTTGATTGTATGATAAAGATCCATGAGAAGCAATCTATCAACCTGAACGGCTGAACAGTTGAACGATTGACCCATCAGATCCATCCAATGGGTTGCATTATTTTAATTATTTTAAGGAAGACATCACAGATTGATCTATGGGCCCAATTGGTTGAAGGCACAGACCCATTGAACCAGGGGAAAAGCAGTTCAGCCTCTGGGCTGGGTTTAAAACACTACATCATAGTCTCTTATTATCGTAAGTTTTGTAACTTGGGAATGTACCGTCAATCATAATGGAGCTCAGCAACACAGCACATTAGCCCCAAGGGCGAAGGCGAACTAATCTATGTAAAACCTCATTCGGGATCTGCCCTACCCAGAAGTTGTAAACATCTTCGATAAATGATACGGGAGATATTTCCAATATGCAGCTGCAATGTCTCTCGTGGGTGGAAATGTGGGAACAGCTCGGAGTTGAAATCAACCCCCCCACAAGATAGTTTCCCACGTCTGCACATTCCCTCCGTGTATTAGGAACATCTCCCAATGAGATTTATCATTTCTAGTACTTATCATCGGGATATTCCCAATACACGACCGGAATGTACTGTAGGACGTTGTGGGAAATTATCTTGTGGGGGGCTGATTTGAAGTCCGTCGCATAGCCGTAGCCCTTCAAAAGAACAAAAAAAAAAAGCCAGACGAACGTCTCCAAAACTCAGCATGTGCTTTTCCACATGCGAATTAATGCTTCTACTTTCTAGGCTAAGCTTTATGAAAGACAGAGGAACAGTGATGTCTGGCTGATGCTGTATCATCTGGATCAATGTATACCAAAAATGCATCAATGGTCCTCGGAGAAAGATTTGAAGTTTAGAATCATATATATCACTCACCTACGTGGCTCTAAGGATAAAAGCAAGTGGAGAGAAATTGCACATTCGCACAAAATTGCTGACAGAAGAAGATTATTCTTATAAATAACCAACCATCATTAATAAAAACTGGTAAAGGATATTTCTTTAAACTAAGAAGCTACGCACATTCACCTCGTGTTCCATGTAAAACCCTTATTAGCACAGCATATGAATCAGAAGTTAAAAGAAAAGGGCAAAAAACTTGGGGAATGTTTAGATGGCGACAAATGACAAGAAAGTAGGAAAAATATAACACTGAAAGGATTCAGAAAAAAATATATATACATATTTATATGTTCACCTCTACCCTCTTTCTTTCGCCTACAAAAATAGCATCATAATTCGCCAAACGTCTCAAGACTTTACCCAAGTTTCAGTCCGATATTCTCATCTCAACTCCAAGAACGTCCTTCACCATCTCATATGTCACAAATGCAATTGCAATGGATGGTACCACCTGAAGAAAGAAAAACAGCAGCAGCATGAAAACATCTCCAATTTAGATTTTATTTTTCCCTGTTTTCTTAATAGTAAAAATGTAATCTCCTTAACAAATGTAGTTCGTTATACATTTTCAGCAGGTGCAAATAAATGTAAGCTCCTTAGCTGGACAAATGACATTCTCCTCAATTTTAAAACCTAGGATACATTTAAAGGATGATAGAATAGATTGGGTTCCACAGAGGATTGTAGGGCTAATGTATGAACCACTATGAAGGAATCCTCTATCTCAATCTAACTATGGTGGGGGATCTATAATTCCTCAGTCCCAGAGACTGAAGGTGCCCATGCAACAATTTTACCTTAAGCATCCAGCCCTCCAGAAGGAAGACTTGCCAAAACAAAAACCAGAAACGCCCCACCTCTAAATTAAAAAAAAGAAAAGAAAAACACAATGGTGTGGGGGGAGGGGATAACAAATAGATGGCCAATGAGATCTTTACTTTCGAAGGCCAAAGTAGATTAGGACATTTCTACATTTCGTAACCAATATGCATATCAAATTAAGCTCTGAGAAGTGCACATAAAATGAGATGTCAATGAGGGGTAGATGGAATGGCAGGTCCCAAGTCCCAACCAACCTGAGTGTATCACATCCAAAGGTGTGGCAAAATATTGTCCTCTATACATGGTCATGAGATTAGTGATCTTTGTTTTAAACAGAAGCCAAAGTGCCTATTGGAGTTAAAGAGTCACTCAAGAGGTTGAATATAATGTGCAACTGACCTTTACAGAATTGGGGACCAAACCCTTGTACAATGCTCCAAAGCCTTCATGCCGAACTGTTTTCCTAAATGCATCAACCATACCAGTATACTCAAGCGTTGCCTTGCTCCTTCCATCACCAGTAACAATTGAAGCAGCATTATTCCAGCCCACCATCTGCATTCTTCTACGAATGACATCAAGAGGGTAAGCAACTGTCTGGCCAACTGTTCCAGCAACAGCTCCACATGCAAGCCTTGTTGTCACACTCAATTCAGAGTCCTCAACTAGGCCAAATGGTTTAGCTTTGACCAACCAGTCTTTTAAAGATTCATACACAGCAAAGTTGAGACCTACATATGGGATCTGCAAACATCAAAAAATAGTATAAGATCCACAAACAGCAATGAGAGTAGAACTTCTTGTTTCTCAAGTGGAGTTTTCCATTTTTAAAATAAAAAAGATCTAGTAATATTATTTTTAAAATTATTTTTTCTTCAGTGTTTGCATGTTGTGCAACTTCTTTTCACACCATGATTTTCTTTTTCATTCATCTTTTTTTTGGGTTGGATACATAATTCATTATGATTCTTCGACTCCCTAAAATTTATTTTCTTATTCTGCATTTTTTTTTTTGTAAATGCTTCCCCCCTCCTCAATTCACAGTTATTGATCCAAAAAAAAAAAAAAATGCTTCCCCCCTCCTGGAATACTGCAAGATCTTAAATCCAATATGAATGGCCTTCTTCTTTACACCGGTTGAGAAGGGGAATACAAAAAAAAAGAAAAAAAAAGTAGAGGGTTAAGAGTCTTGGAGAGAGAAAGGTGCAAATGAAATTGTGTTGGAATAATTCTCTGCTACAAAATGATGTTAACATGAAAAGAAGCCAAGCATATGTAGGTTTATCTTATGTTAATTCTAGAAATCCATAAAAGCATGTAAAGTAATCACATACGAAGCTTATGCATACATTGATCCACGAGCATATAAAGGCCCCTTCTCTTTAACCAGGAATAGAAAGAGCCCATTATTATGATTGTAATTGTAAGGTGCTGTCTAGGCAACATGGAATATTTTTGGGGTTGTCTTGTGCTTCATCTTGTTGTTGTAGGTTATTATCTTATACCATATCATATAATATTGAAGAAATAATGAAAAAAGAGGTGAAAGGGTACTGTAAAAGATTAAGTTTTCAATTCAAAGAACCATACAAATGTGATAACTATGATAGAACTTCAACTAGCAGCCTTCATCATGGTATTTCATTTATATCCATCAATATGAGGGAAAAAAACAGAATATTATCTTTCTATAGCAGAATAGGTTCTCCATCCATTCATTTTTTTCTTTTTGAACTGTAATTGACATGCAACACAAAAATGCACTGTCTTTCTGTGTGGCATTAACAACATAGGGGCTGCAACCCTTCCTTTTTCACCCATAGGCTATGTCATGTTGTTTTCATTATACTTTTAATATTTGGTTATTTCTTGCTATCACTTTTAATGATTGATACCTGCTAGGTTCAACTAAGGAAATGATATATGTCATAAAGAAAATTAGGCAAATAAGCTAATAACCGTTTACTATGAAAAATATTTCCTAGGAAGCACCTATCCTCTAGACAACAAGGCATATTATCACTTGGCCTTGCCTTAGCGCATTGGCAACTATGACACTGACCAAGTGAACTAGAAGCTTAAAGGAGGAAAAATACTTGCAATGTTTTAAAATGCATAGGCATGATGCGAGCCGTTCCACGTCTCCTTAAGAGGAGGGGAATGAGGAAGAAGAGGAAGGATGATCTCATCTTTTTTTTTTTTTCTTTTTTTTCTAATGAAAGATGTCTTATAGTAGAAGAATGAAGATGCATAACACAAAAAAAGGGATGCATTAAAAAGGTGTTGGGGTGGGGGGCGGGGGGCTGCAAACTTTCTTTCCCCTTCCCCTTCCCTTTCTCTTTTATTCTTTTCTTTCTTTCTTTTCCTTTCCCTTCCCTTTTTCATTTCCTTCCTTTCCTTCTCTTTTTCGTTCTTTTTTCTTTCTTTCTGTCTTTTTGTATGAAGCGTGCATGAGATGCATGAGGTGTACACCTCAGAGGCATCAATGCCTTTGGCATACAACCTCACCTTAGGGCATTTTGGAGGTGCCTCACCTTGAAAAGCTTTTTTCTTTTTTTTTTTCATACACTATAAAGGCAAAATAAACTATGATATTGCTCTAACAAAATTAAAAAAGAAGAACAAAGAAGATAAAGAGATCCCAGATGATCATTTAATTATATCTATATATCTCCATTCCCCAAAATTCTGTGGGGCACCTGATCATAAGAAGATGACAAGGACTCCCAACCAATTGGAAATGCAGCTTGCTTCTGCAGCAGATTTATAGATGCAAGCACACAAACCTATATTTGAGTACCGAGCAAATTTTGCTCTTCTTTTTCCTTTTTTCTTGAACCATAAATGCAAATTATGGTTTGAGCAGGGTGTCCTCTTAGGCTGTGTTTGGTTTGAAAGAAAAATAAGGAAAGGGAAAGGTAGGGAAACCTGTAAAGAGAAAGTACAGGTTTGTCTACCTTTCCCTACATTCTCATTCAAACCAAACACAGCCTTAGGGGGAACTGGAAAGGCACTCAGACACAAAGTTTGACACAGGATGAAATTAACAGGACGTCAAATACAAACTATCTACAATGCAGGGCAGGAGGGGCAAAATTATTTTAAGGTCAGAAGAACACAATTGTAATCAGTCCAAGATGGGGAACATTAGTATCATGATATCATCATCAATGTTTTAAAACAGGGAGGCATGATGCGAGGCGTTACTTCCACTACCTAGAGGCGTGAGGCGTAGTTCAGAACGTAAGAAGCGTAAGCCTCCCGAACACAAGGGGGCGTAAGCCTTAAGAGGAGGGGGATGAGGAGGAAGGAGGAGGAAGGGGGGGGGAGGAAGAAAGGAGGATCTCATTTTTCTTTATTTTTAATAAAAACCTTTTATATTAAGAAGAATGAAGATGCATAGCACTAGTTGAAAGGGGGGGGGGGGCTTGTCTTTCTTTTTCTTTCCCTTCCCTTTCTTTTCCTTTCCTTTTTTTCTTTTTATATGAAATGTGCATGAGGCGCATGCCTCTGGCACGTCTCATGAAAAAGGCGTATAAGGCATACACCTCAGAGGTATCAGTGCCTCTGGCATACGCCTCAGGGAATTTTGGGGGCGCCTGGCCTGGAGGCGCACCTCCAGGCGTATGCCTCCCATGCCTTTTAAAACACTGATCATCATATAAATAGTAGGATAAATGAATATCCCAAATACTTACTACTCCAATTACAGAAGGAAGCCAGCCTTTGTACAAAGCTCGTGGACCTTCTTCACGAAGGACAGTTGAAAGTGCATGGAACATTCCTCTATACTGATAAGGAGACTTCTCTGTCTGCAAAAGTAAGACAGCAAAGAAAACAATATTACAGGATCATAAGACTATATTTAGCAAAAAAGAAGAGTCATAAAAGACAAAATTAGAAAATAAAAAACATTGGTACCATATTTTATGAGTAGTTAGCCAAGGAAACTGCACATAACCTAGAGATGAAGCAATACCTGCACAGTTAGTCTGCCTCGTACCATGTCCATTGGATAAGTTGCTGACATAGCAATGATTCCAGCACATGCTCCAGCTCCAAGGCGTAAAAGAGGGGTTAACCCTGCATCTTCTGCAACAGATGACACATCAGTTAAATGAGATCCTTCGCTGTCATATTAACTTCATCTCAATTGCAAAATATGTTAATCTAACAGTGGACGTTCAGATAGTCAGCATTATTTGCCAGTTATAGAACTAGGTCCAGATTTAAGTGGATTAGTTATTTAGGAATGACAAAAGCACCAATGCACAAAGAAGGTTTTCTAGGCTCCAATTGGGTCAGTTTCCTAGTTCAAATTGGAGTTTTCAAAATAATAGCCAATCATTCAGAAGATATTACATACAGCAGGCAGCATGAGATGAAAAATCACTACCCACATTTTCTGTTAAAGTATATAGAAATGGAAATCATAGTTTAATTGGGTTGATCTAGGAAATTAAATATCAATTGAGTAAGACTAACGTGGGCTTTCATGTGATGACATAAGATATATGCAATCAGAAAGACCTCCTGTCTAAACATTACACAAATATTACATTGTTCTTTTCTTTTTTGATAATTAACATAAACTTTAATTAATAATAAGAGAATTATAACATTGCTCTTTTGTCAGGTGCTAAATTCATAATCAAGATAGACATCATCAATCAAATAAAAATCTGCATAAATGAAAAGAGGATTGCTAGTAAAAAATGAGTTTATGCAACTCTCGGCTTTCTTTTCCCTTAGAGATAAGGTGGGAGTCATGAAATACATGTTCAACTTTGTCTTGTAATGTTGTTTTGCAGGTCTCACCAAGCCTGTAGGACGAAGAACTCAATACCAATAGTTGCATAAATTTGTTTTTTTTTATATTTACTAGGATTTGTCATGTGCATCAAAATGATATCATAATCCAATAGTTGCATAGACTCGGGATGATCACATATATAGTTTAGAGTACTCTGCTGGAATCATAGCTACCACCATGCACCTTATTAATGTGAAAGAAATGGGTTGTTTAGAGCACAGATTCGACTTGCTGGATCAATGTTTGGTGGAAAGATTTATAGGGGCAGATCCAGAGAAGCTTGTTTCAGAGGCACTAAATAAGATGAATAAGGGAAAGACATTAGAACCTGATGGGATTCCAAATATAAGTATGGAAATGTATGGGGCAGGCAGGCTTGTTATGGCTACAAACTATTTAATAAGATAGTGAAAGAAAAGAAGATGCCTGATGATTAGAGAAATAACACTATGGTGCCTATATTTAAGAAAAAAAGTGATATACAAAGTGGTAATATCTATTAGTGGATTAAACTTATGAACCACATTATGAAACTTTGAGAGAGAATAATTGAACAAAGATTACGACTTGAAACAAGTAAATCAGATAACCAATTTAGCTTTATGCCAAAGAGATTTTTTTTTTTATCAGAAACAATAACTTTCATTAGAGATAAATTAACCTGAAAAACAGAATTCAACCCTTATTAGAAAAGGTTGATCCAATAAACATCAAACATTACAGCACTGCCCAATAAAGACTCTCCCTTGCAGTCCCTTGTTTTGCTAGGGCGTCAGCAAAACCATTTGCTGATCTCCTTACCCACTTGAACCAAACACCCACCTCCCTTGTTATGATAAGAATTTCCCTTATTAGCTGTCTA